GACGGCGGCATGCTGGCTTGAAGGATATCCCGAATCGACTGAAGGTGCGCGAGCTCTGCTTCGACAATCGCCACGTCAACATTCACCTTGCGGCGATAATTGCGCTGCTTTTCTCGAAAATATCGACGGCGAGCGAGTGTGTTGTCGACAGTCGTCAGGGCCGCGTCCGTGCTGTTGGCGTCGGTCTCGCCCGTGTTAGATGTCATTCTTGATTTATTCTTGGTCCGATGTGATTGGTGCAATCTAACCTTATGCTACACTACTACAGGTACGAGCAATTTTCTTCAAATTTCCTAATATTCCAACTCTGATTGGCTAGTATTTACTTCGCCTCTCGGGTAGAAATCCAACATGGAACGTAGCCAATCAGCGACAAGATTTTCGGATTGACCAATGGGAGGCTAGAGACTGCGGAACGTAACCATCCTCGGCGACATACGGTACTTTACAGTTATACTTGTCCTTTCTGCAAGAGCCAATCAAATAAACTCAAAAATGCATTAGCCAATAGCGTCGATTCGTGATTCGATTCGGCGGCGAGATTCGATTCAACATGGTCTGGAAATTCATATCGAATCCACAATATTATCGAGTCGATACGTGTCAGACAAAGAAAAGCTGGCAGCGTTTCTCTACGTCGTTGGCCATGCCACCTCGAGCAGGCAAGCACAAGAACGATTTCAACGAAGAGGTGGGACGGTCACACAATCAACGAACGAGGTACGATAACGTTATACTTGTCAGAGATCGGTATTGTCAAGTCGGTTCGTAATTGGAGTCGCCAGTAGAATCGAATAGACTTGGCAAATCGATTTGAGAATGAACTAGCCAATCAAAATCCATTCTAACCCGTGAATACAAGATATATTGCCAAGTTAGTTCAAAAACGGTTTCACTTTTGGACTGACTGTGAACAGTCCATATTTTCGTGAGACGGATAATAGCGTAGTAAGGAAAATGGCGGCGAGTTTGCGAAATATTTCCATTTTCGAGGGCCGTAAAGGCAAAATATTCCCTCCCTAGAACCCTGCTCAAGAATTCTGCCCTCGCACAATACCTGTATAAGTTAATGATTATGCACTTGTTGAGTTTTCAATTTTGTTCAAGTTGTTTGAAGCATGGTGGCGGGTGTTGCGGTTGGTGGTGGGGATCGTGGACGCGCCAAGACGTACTAAGTATTGTGGTGGCGGCTTATATAGTAAGTATTTCACGGCGGCGGGAGTTCTGATACCGACAACAGCAGTGGTGACCAATATTTTATTCATATTTATTCTTGATGTCCGAGGCAGCGAATTACTCATTTGCCGTCATGACTTGCACGTTACACTTATTCACTCTACGCCCTGCAATGAATTACTAGTAATTATTCATTCACCCGCCCCCGCCCACACGAATAATTTACTTGAATTATTCAAATACTATACTACTACTACGGTAGTAAGCTTAGTACTGTATTAGTTTGGCCAGGCCTCATTATTTAAGGTAAATACCTTAATTACCTATATTAGCTTAAAATTAAGGTATCTTAGTCGTCTGCCGGTAGGCATATACTGAACATAACACGTAAAAAAACAATTTAACAGTAAGATAACTATTTTGGAGGCGTCGGAGTAGAATGGACATTACTTTTGAGTCCGTTACGGTATTTGAGTTTTGAATAGTGATTCCAATAGACAAGACGCGCCACTTTGACTGCATAATCGAATTATCAGTTTACGCGATGAACTTCACAGGTAAATTTGTTACTTTCTAAGCATTTACAACATGTTGCATATAATTTATACAAGGGTATTGTTTTATAGAGTTATGTTTCTTTTGTGGTTGGAGTCCATCTAGTTTAACACTCGACAAAACCTCAGATCCAACCCAAAGTGGCCCGTGTCGAGCAGGGTACTTCGAACCCAATCTGGAATGACTGTTACCGATGGCTTCTACGCCGTTTTTGCATTTCATTCACGTTACGGAATGGTCGCATTATATGACAGAGGTTTTGACTCGAACAAATAACGAGGTGTGATTGGGCAATACAAAGTTACTTATGGTTAACAGTAAATTATCTTAAACTGGTTTTTACGTTAGCATCCATCAGTCATTTTGAACGATGTGGTAACGTTAGTGGGAGCTTTACATGGGTGGTTGTGTCAGAGTATTTACTGTTAACTATTTGTTGCAAGTTCGGGCCAAGTCAATCCATTACGCGTAGTTGAGACACTGGGTTGGGGTCGAGCAGGCCGCTTGAACTGCTTCGCCTGGAAGATACCCTCGAGCGACAGGTCGAGGAGGTTCTTGCGGAACTCGTCCTTCTCCTATTTCAGGATGCTGAAGTCGGACTCGAGGTCCTGTCTTTCAAGTTGGAAAGTCGTGAATGATACTGTGTACCAATCATGATGCTAACTGGTAAGTGTATGAATCGGAAGGTTTCAAGTCCAGTGTTCATATGGCGCCGATTTCGTGGTTGTCTCAGCCTACGTACTAACAGTACATGTCCGTTGGCCAGTCAACCGCCCCGCCAGCCGGTGCACAGCAAATTACAGGAGGTTGTGTTCGCGAACACGGACGCTAATCCCGAACAGAAGCGGCGCAGCTGTGAGAAGCACGCCCTGCCGATAGAATTCCAGCCGTCGTTGAAATTCGTTTTGTTGTTGTGTGCATCGATGATGGCCATTTTATGCCGGGCTCGTCCTTGTACGCCTTGACCAGGTCGCGATGATGGAAGTTACTGAAGAACAGACGCACCCGTGCCAAGCGAGGCATCAGGATGGCATCCCGAAGCAGTTTGGGACGCATCTTAGCCAGGTCGACCGGCATGCACGCCGGCGCCTCCAACACAGCAGCGTGATTGATCTCGTCGCACTCCGCCTGCATCTTCTGCAGCCGGATGATCAACTTCACCGCGTACTCGCACAGCACGCGCAGGACGTGGGCCTTACTGCCGGCCGTGCCATCGCCGTCGTCCTCCAAAAGGCCCCAGTTGTCATTGGCGTGCATGCCCAGGTCCTCGATGAACTCGATCAAGGAGCTGCTGTCGACCCACCACTCCTCCTCCTTGTAGAACTCGTCCGCGCGCAGCTGATCCATGCCAGCAGCGTTAGTACGGGCGTCCTTGATGCTGAACAGAACGACAAGGTCCGTCAACATGGAATCCAGGAACCCGCGCTGCTGGGAGATGATCAGTGATCGTTCCTGCAGCTCGACGAAGGTTCGATTCATGCGGGCGATAGCGGGGTTGACAGCAGCGGTTATTACCCAGAACGTTGGCGTCGGCATCGGCGGCCTGGCTGCGTTATTAGGGCGATCGGCGATGTAGGACGTGATGCGCGAGTTGTACTTGAGAATGAAGTCAACCACCATACCCAGGTGCAGCCACCGGTTGGTCTTCTTCGGGCACGTCACGCCCATGCACAGGATCAGGTTGCTCTGCGCGCGCAAGTAGACGGATAGCTTGTAGACGATCTCGATCCATTCGCCTTGGTCAATCGCCTCTGTAGCACTGCGGGAGGAAGCGTGTGTAGTTGAGGGCAAAATGCACAGTGAATTAACTGAAGATCTACAAAGATCTCCTTAATCCTCATCACTATGAAATCTTCTTAATCTACTTCACTACTTCTACACTAATATGCACTTTTCTATACAATGGATGCGGGTGCGGTTGAGACATTGGGGAACTTCACTAGGCTAGCGATTCTAAGCCATACTTGCCCTTGAGACACATTCCCAGGCAAGCATTAGCTAGGGTGCGTCATGAGGCAGGTACTTAGGAGATGGGTGCGGGCAAGGCGTTACCCCCACCTGCCACACCGCTATATTCTCCCCCTGACGTCTTGCTACACCTTGAAACACCTTAACTCCAAGTCTTGGACGAGTTGCTTGAAGTGCACAACATGCTTGATGTCTTTCATCAGTTCCCACGTGGCTTCGCTTTCGGGCTGTCCATGCCACTTGACCAAGTACTCCAACTTGCGATTGAACTGGCGCTTCTTGAGCAGTTTCTCGACAATGTACATTTGTTCGCCGGTGGATTCGTCTAGAATAACAGGAGTAGCTTTCGGGATAGGCCGGGAGGCAAACTTGGCTTCGTTGGGGTGATAGTGCTTAAGTCGATCAACGTTGAACACGTCATGGACACGTGACATCGAGCGAGGCAACTTGAGGCGCATGGCGTTGTCATTAATGGCTTGGAGAATCACAAAGGGACTGATGAATCGTGGAACCAACTTGGGAGGCTCAGACTTGTCGAGCATCTGGGCATGCTTTAAAGGCAGGTTGCGAGTCGCTAACAGTACTTGATCGCCTTCCTTGAAAGTCACGTTCGAACGGCGCTTGTCATAATATTCCTTCTGACGTTGTTGGGCCTTATTCAAATTCTCGTGAGCCCATCCGAATGACTTCCTTGCGATGTTCTGCAAAATTCTTGGCAAAATCATTTTTGGGCAAGGAGCTGCTCACGGCAGGGTTGCGCAACTTGCGGCCTGTGTCGACTTCGAACGGCGTCAAGCAGGTTGATGCTTGGACCAAGCCTTGGTGGGCATACAGTATTTGGCATCTGAGCGCATCTTCGAGAGTTCGATTCTGGCGCTCAGTCGCTCCATCGGCTTGAGCTCTGCCGGCGGTGGTCATGGCTTGGCGGATGCCCATAATCTCCATGAGGGACTTCCAAAACGTGCTTGTAAACTTGGGGTCACGGTCACTGATGATCATCGCTGGTAGTCCATGGTGGCGAACAACATGTTCGAAGAATTCTTTCGCCGTTTGGGGTGCGTCGACATCTGACCTCGTCGGGATGTACTTTGGCCGCTTGGATAGCTTGTCTACGACTACCAAAATAGCATCATAGCCTTTTGACACGGGCAAACCGGTGATCCAATCCGCTGAAACAGTTTGCCAACACTCTTCCGGCGCGGGAAAGGGAATCATCTTGCCATTTGCACGCAGATTGCTCGTCTTGTATCGGCTGCATGTTTCACAAGTCGCGACGTATAACTTCACGTCTTCGGCAAGAGTGTTCCAGTAATACCACTGCGCTACACTTAACATTGTACGTCGAGTTCCAGGGTGCGCGGCAGTGCTTGAATCGTGCGCGTAAGATAAAATCTCGGCCCGAAGCACGTCATCGTTGGGGACACATAACTTCCAAACTTGATCTTGGCTTCGGAGAAAGCAGAGTCCTTCCTTCCACTTGAAGGCTTCACCTTTCATGGACTTTGTGCCTGAGTCCTTTGCGTATGCCTTCACAAAACGTTCCTTGGTTTTGGTGTCCATCTCGATGGTGCTAAAGGACACTTGCTTCGAGTGGTTCACCGTTAGGCGTTGAGGCACTAG